GGAACAGAATTGGGTGCCGAGTTTTTCAAGTCAAACTAATCAACCATCACTCCATTAACTTTATTGGGAAGAACCTGGTTGATTAGTCAAAAAAGGACATTTTTCCCCTTTCCAATAAAAATGTTACTTACCGTAGGTAAAGGTTAACAAATAAGATTAACTACATACCATGTATTCAGTAACATGAAAAAGCTGATGCACTCATACAGCTGGTGATGATCTATATAAAAGATCATACCGGGTGTCTGACTGACAGTTAATAAGAGGAAGATGGGTGTAAGACTGCTCTCTCCTTGAACATGTAGCTGTACCTTGCAAAAAATACGAGCTCAAACAGAAGGATAAGTGAAACGTTCACTGAAAATAACTTGAGAAATGTACTCTGGCCTTCTTACATTTCACCTTTGCACTTTGATCCTCTTTCTTCATCTCAACTATCTTGGATCCAAGACAGACAAGACTTCAAAGATGGACCATTACACTAATAGCAAAGGAAGAAACCCCCAAACGATGTCGGACTAATCACAAACACGCACTCTCTCAAGAAACTGCTATTCTGATAGCAATGATTGAGGCAAGAGTAAAAAATACCAGGTACATGTAGAGCACGGTATTCTGAAGCGAGTTAGGCCCGTGATTAAGTATGGCACACAAGTGTATGCATTCCATAAAATAAGAGGAAGCAAACAAAATGTTGAAGGTTTGCTTTTTTTTTTTCTTGAAAGAAAGCAATAAGAACTTAAATGGGAGGACAAGGAAGACTGAAAGTCACATTTACTCACTGTCCAGTCCTGGTTGACTGATTGTCATCAGCGATATGGATTTGGTCAGTGGAGAAGGCATGGCAGAACTACAGAAATTAAATCCATGAGGCTGTGATCTTTGGCGTATCTGTGGAATAGAGAACAACAGACAAGTCAAGTACAAGGCTCTCTGTCCAACCACAGGCTACAGGCCTGGCACTCAAGTTTACTGGTGGCCCAGCAGCAGCAGGCCATCCCTTTAAATTGTGCAACATTAAAACCCCCAAGAGGATCTGGTCCAAGGTAAGATGGTATGACAGAAACATGGGGAACTGGAGTATGACAGACATGAGGAGTTGTAAGAGTGAAATGTAGTATTATTTTTTCAACTGGGAGAGAAATATGAGAATGCAATGAAAATTGGAGCTAAGCACAGGCTCCTTCCTCCTCTGGCAGGCAACTAACATGTATGACTTTGACTGATGACCAGTTAGATGAATGCTCTGATTTCAACCCCTCTAATGAAAGGGAGCTGATTGTATGCGATGCAGATCCAGCTATTAGGATAGGTGGTAGTAGTAGTGTACTTTCAATGAACACCATTCAACAAAACACTGACTGTGGCACAGTAATGCCACCTCCTGTAGCTCAGCTCTCATGAGACCTGCCTTTATCTTCTGACCATGGGCAATGAGACTCTATCCAATCATCCCACTCAGCAACCCTTTCATTCTGGAGAAAGAGATGCTCTGTCACACATGCTGGAGAACTATGGTGAAAAGCAGAACATTTTGTGTATTTAAAGGGTTTACGGCTCCCAGTGCCTTTGAAAAATGACCAAAGATAGAAGGCCGTACATCTGGCCCACCTCTTCTGATTGAACCATTAATTCCCCGCTCCCCAAGAAAGTATTAACAAACCTGTGTAATCCTCCATTTTCTTTACTACTCTCTGTTGGTTACAGAAGTAAATGGAGTACACATGGTATGAAAAGAGAAAAGGACCTCCCCTTTCCTTATGACACAGGTATAAACTTGACCACTTTAACAGATAAAATGATGCTTGGCCCCTTTATATGCCTCATATTTTTAAGGGGGGGCACAAACACTAAATGTTTAAATCTCCTAAGACCCCTATGGAAGAATTATCATCATCTTTACTAGGCAGAAGTAATAATCTTCCCAGAGATGCTCAGGCAGTCAGTGGCAGAGCACTTAAGAATTTCTTGTTTCCCAGTTTTACTTTCTAGCCCATCAATGACTCCGCTACAACTGAGGAGTTAGGCTGTTCTAGAAGAAGCAAAGTCAGGGGAGTCTTTCAGCTTCCATGTTGTGGGTCTCTGGGCTAAGAGAGGCCATCTGTCATTTATTATGAACACAAAGTGAAGCCCTAGCAGTGAGATCCACACCTGGGACATACGCGGTGTCCCTTGATTTACCAAATATGAACAGAAATAGGCCTTTACCTGACGATCAAACCCTCTGAGTTCCCCATGCTCATCTTCAAGTTCTTCTTCAGTGAGCAGGACTGAGGACCCTTGTTCATCACTGGCGAGTGGGCTACGTCTCAGGTCTTTGGAGCTCAGGGAGGATGTTTCTAAATTTGAGGGGGGCTTCTTGATATCATCAGAGTCGCCCGCAAGGCCTTCGAGGCTGTAACTGAAGACATTTTGCAAAGATTAGACCCTTAACGTTCTTAACATATAACCTTGTGTCTGAACTGCATTCATGAACCACCTTCTAATACCAGTGGGACACCACCCCTAAGCTAACAGTAAAGTGAAAACAGGGATGTTATTCCCTCTGTGTCACTTTGCAATGTGACCTAATTCAGGTAGCAGCTCCTGGTTATATTTCCTTCAGTGCAGACAACAGTGTCTTGGTACCATCAGGCAAATAGTTGCCTAAGAATAATGGATGAATATGTGAACGTATTACTGGATTTGCTCTCTTTCTCCCATTAATGGATCAATACAAAACATGGAACATTAATTTGAAGGCTCACTTGTTCTTTGCCTTGCACAGTATGCCTGCTTACACCTCTGAGATGCAGCTCTATTTACCTAGTCTAACCTGAAGCTGTTTGCACCTGAACAGATGTTCTACAGTGAAAGGTTTTACACCTTCCAGTGAAGCTGTTGTTTATAGAGAGCAATATATGTAATGTTAACACTTGTCTTTGCAGATATGCTCGTTGATGCTGCTCATTATTCAATACTTCAGAAGGGCTTGGCAGAATGCAGGGCACTAGTGACAGAGTTTAATTATTAAGCAATCCTCATCAGACAATGACTCACATTTTTATCATTTTTTTTTAATTTAACCAGATCCATCCCAATGAGCCAAACAAAACCATTTAAAGCCAAACCAAACAAAAAGCACTTGTGTGCATAATAGTGCTTCTAAAGGGATTAGCTGGACCCAGCTATAGTTATGGCTGCTGAAAAGCAAGTTTTTCTTGCACAAAACCATACTAGTACAGCTCAATTCTTGCCTACAACACTACCCTCTCCTCCATATATTGTGCGACCCATCCAGACCTACCACTATCTTCCCTACTCTTCCAAATCTTGGCTCTCACACAACACTGGCAGCCCTAACTGTAAAGTAATGTCTCCTGATGTCCAGCCTGAACCTTCTCTCTAACAATTTGTGGCTGTTATTCCTAGTCACCCCGGGTGGTGCCCTGGGGAACAGAGCCTCACCCAATTCCCGCTGGTCCTCCCTGGTGAGTTTGTAAACAGCCACCAGATCCCCTCTCAGCCTTCTCTTCTGGAGGCTGAACAGGTTCAGGCCCTTTAGCCTCTCTTCATATGGCCTGCCCTGCTGCCCCTTGACCATGCAAGCGCCTCTTCTCTGGACCCTTTCAATGCTAGCCATAGCCCTCTTGAAGTGTGGCGCCCAGAACTGGATGCAGTACTCCAACTGTGGCCTGACCAGCGCCACAGAGGGGAAGGATCACCTCCCTGGACCTGCTCGTGATGCATCTGTAGATGCACGACAAGGTACAGTTAAGCCTTACTGACTGCTTCCTTGCGTTGGCTGCTCATGTTCATCCTGGAGTCAACAATACCTCCAAAATCCCTTTCTGCCACCGTGTTGACAAGAAGGGTGTTCCCCAGCCTATAGGCGTGTTGCTGGTTCCTTCTCTCTAGATGCAGCACCTTGCACTTGTCTGTGTTGAAGTGCATCCTATTCTCATCTGCCCACCTCTGTAACCTGTCCAGATCTAGTTGTATTCTGTCCCTCCCCTCCAGCATGCCCACCTCGCCCCACAACTTGGTGTTGTCACTGAATTTGGACAGCGTGCTTTCTACACCCACATCCAAATCGGTGATAAAGATGTTGAACAGTGCAGGCCCCAGGACTGAGCCCTGGGGGACTCCACTGCCCACATCCCTCCAGGTCGAAAATGACCCATCCACCACAACTCTCTGGGTGCAACCATCTAGCCAATTTGCCACCCATCTGACTGTGTAGGCATCAATGCCACAGTCACCAAGATGTACCTTATTTGTGACCTGAAATACCCCCAGCTATGAAAATCCTAGGTTCCCAGCTCAGCTCTATCAGTGAAGCTCCCTCCTGCTACGCAGCAAACTGCCAGTTAAATCAAAGTGTTTCTGAGAGGGCAGACTCATGATGGTCTAATCTGCTATAGGAACTCAGGTGATACCAGTGCATAGGTTTTCATTTTGGGGAAGGAATCCTGCTACATTACTTCAGCACTTCTAATACTTTTTGTAAACTTTGGGGCAAGACAAGCACTGAACCTGAGCAACTTGAGCTAAAATGTCCAGCATATTAGCAATTTCAGCTTTCCCACGTTGGATCACAGTTTGTGGTGACCTGATGAGGGCCAAATGTTTTACAGAACAAAGCCTAGCTATGCGCAAGATATCTAGAATCAAAGCTAATCATGACATCTAGCTGGCTGGTGAGTTATTATTCATAACATGTTCAAAATATAAATCCGCATGGCACAGTATATTTTCCCAACTGGACAAACTTTCACAAAGACGCACATAATAGATGCTAGCATTTGATATTTTGTTGGAGGTGCTAGATAGATGACAAATGCACAGAATCCACAAAGCAAAAGCTGCTGTTAGTGTAAAATGCAGTTATAAGTCAGAAAATTCAGGCTTCTGGTTTTTAAAGATTGATTTTAGGTTAGTAAATGAGAAGGCAGGCATGCTTGGGTACTTGAGATTCTATTAGTTTATAGAAGTCTTTGACTGTATTGTGTCCAACAGCTTGAACAGTACACTTCCAAACATCTGCAAGGAGAAATCTGTCCCATTTCTATTGATTATCTAGGAGCAGAAAGGCACTTCTTCCCAGATCCAAATCATGTTTATGTACATGGTAGCTTGCTGTGATACTAATATTACCTACCTACCTACCAACAGCTGGGCTCAAAACAGCAATGCGATTCACACAGGTCAGACAGTCATTGGCTAGTAATGTGACATATGGTTACAACCTGCTGTATCTGGACCATGCCCAAATGGACCAAAGTAAAATAACCTGTGCCTAAATTTCAGAGCTATCTAGTTCCCACCCACTCCCCTTCCCCGCAAGTGATCTCTAAGATTCTCTCCTGAGCCATTAATTACTGGGAAGGAAAAAAAAAAAAAGAACAGTAGCTATGAAATTTGGGACCAGATCTTCAGATGTTATTTCACTTCAGTTGAGAATCTGAGCCGAGATCATCAACCCCAGCTTTGGACGTCTTACTGATAGTTTTAAATCACTAGGGATCTTGAATCTAGACTTATCCCACAGTTTTACTCTTTGACACTTTACATATTTTGCCTCTGCTGGAGAGAAAAGAACCCTCATTTTACCAGGGACAAGTCTATATGAATGTCAACGCCTATAAAAAAAAAATCAGTCATTCTGGAGCAATGCAGTGATGCATCTCGTTAGCTCTCACTGGTTTCTTTTGCTGCTAGGATCATACGTTTTGTGGAAAAATCAGAGAAAGTCAGAGAAAAAAAGAGCTCAGGACGAATAATGCAACTTCGCCAACACTCGAGACCAACACAGACACAAGCAGCCATCACCTCTTCTAGCATCCTACCCTGTAGAAGACCTTTTACCAAGTGGAACAAAAAAAACCCCAAAACAGACAAGGCAAACATATTCAGGCCACCACAGCAGAAAAACAGACTACACGCACAAAGCTGACAAGACTCTGCAGTGCTCTTTCACTGCTGCACACTTATTTATACCATACCTTCTAAAATTAAAGTCAGCACCCGTGGCAATGTACTGTACGCCAGAAGGACACCAACTCAAGCTAGGAACATCAAAGGCAGAGAAAGGAAAAGGGCAGCAATTATTGGATTGGCACAGAAAGGGAATGTTTAAAGACCCTTGCTTCTTTTTAGGAATGTCATTTTAAAAAAAAACACAAAACTTTTGATGCAAGTTTGTGGTCAATAAAGCAGACCAGCTTGTCTGCCCTAAGAAAGAACACAGCCCCCTTTATTACCAGACAACAGGTTGCAGGACAGTTCAAGCCTCCCTCAAGCTGGCTGTATCAGTGAGCACCAACAGTGAACGGCCGTGAGCACTTCTGTGAGTGACAGCAGAGCTCACACTTCGTGCCCACTGAACGGGAGTTGGTGTCAGCTGTGAACGTGCTTTTACAAACGTGGAACTGGGACCCACCAAGCCAATATGTTACAAACCATGGGGCAGCATTGAGGTACCTGGTCTGTTACTGGTAATAATGAATGGCACCTGCCATCAAAGGACCTGAACAGTGCTTTAAAGCAGGGCCGTCCAACTTCTGAGCAGCCAGGGGCTACATACTGCATATCGCACCCCCAGGCTCCAGCTGCTCCAACAGGCTCTACAACCCTGCCCACGGGCAGGGGCAGGGAGTGGAAACAGGAGCAATAGGGGGGAACAGTGCCAGTAGGACAGCCCAGCTTTAAAGCATTTAATGGAATAAACCCCACTCCAAGGAGTTTAATTATTAATCTCGTTTTTGCAAATAGGGAAAAAGGAGGCAGGAGCATAGGCAATTTGCCCAAGGTTGCACAGAAAGTCACTGTCAGTCAGAAACAGAAGCTACGTCTCCCGACTCCTAGTCCTGTATTTAAAATCACAAGACAATACTCATTTTTTTTCAGTCCCCTTAGGATGAAGTCAAATGCAGACTTTCAAAATACCAGCCACCAGTCTCTGAAGTCACACATGAACAAGTCATCCTCGCCTCCTGCCTTTTCTCTCTCCTATACGCGGTTCTAGCGCTCACAGCAAAACGGGGAAAAGGGTCTTCCGAAAAGTGTCAAAGCAGTCGAGATGAATGGAATGGTAAAAGCAATTCGCTGAATGAAGCATGGCATTTTGTTGGAAGATTAACGAGTTGCTGTAGATATGACCAGCAACTGCGAGGCCAGGAGTTATATTCATTTCTGTTTGGTTTTGGTTGAGATGCCTAATTAACCTGTGACACCTCCAGTGAAGCTCCTCTCCCTTCAGATACGTAAGCTCTTTTCTGAAGGCTTCCAGAACATCGCCATAAATAGCCATTGTGACAAGCACCTTACTGTAACATGAAGACCTTTTACACTCTTTAAAGCCATTATTTTCTTAAACTAGCGTGGAGCAGGGAAGTATTAGCCCCATTTTACAGCTGGGAAATCTGAGAACAAGAAAAGAAACTTGTTTGAAGTCACAGGAACCGGTGTGCTGCTTGACTACAAATAGCTCCTATCGCTTGTAGCTGTTCTCACCTACAAAATTGTGTTGAATCTTCCCGAAGGACCCGTGTGTCCTATGCCATGAAGATCCTATGCTACTCAGAGTTGTGTGTGCTTTGCGGTGAAAGGGGGTTCAGCATATATGCTCTTGAATGGTTAAAATTAACTTTCAGTGGACAATAGTGAAGTAAAAGGAACAAGAAACAGACATATATGAAAATAGAAAATTTTCTATTGAAAATTTATAGTGACAATTTGGGACTTTAAAATGGCAGGGCAGGAAAACAGAGGAGCAGCATCGAGCAGGCGGCACAGAGGAAATGACAGAATGTCCCAGAGAGGGATAAAAACTCTTGGCAAGCACGCTGGAAAGAGAAATGTATAGAATTATAATCTTGCTGGTGAGCCACCCACCATCTGCTGGCAACACTATGCAAAACTTGAGAGTGGATCATTGTACAACATGTACAAATCCTTTACAGAAAGATCTGGGTGGAGAACAAGGCTATTGTGTGCGAGACTGCTGACTAGAACTGATTTCCATTGTCCTCTCTACAGTGCCATTTCTAGGCTACCAAAATGGCTGGGGCCCTAGAAAAGAGGGGCAGGGAATAAACATGTTTTCTAAAGAATCTGATCTAAATTTTCATGCAGGGAATAAGTATGTTTTCTAAAGAATCTGATCTAAATTTTCAAAAGGTAACTAGGGGTTTGAGTGGCCTGCTTGAAAGAAGTTACCATTATGATGACCAGTGTCCTCTCCCAGGACACTGTAGACTCGCTGCTGATCTGTAGAAGTCGGGTAGATCCACTACGTATTAGTTAAGTGGCTAGCTCACAAAGTGAACACGGAGCCGGCAAATTCATTCACAACAAGCAACATCACTCAAAGTCTAATCTGTCGGCAGTGATTAAGACAGATGTAGGTGTCAGAAAGTAGGCAGCACTCAGCTGAAAAACTCATGGGAAAGGACAGAATAATATCACCATTTCCTCTTCCATGGTCACATGCTTTTTTTTCCTTAACGGCATGATGAAATCAGTTAAGTACTCAAGTGAGATTTCCCTCTCTAGTAGGTGTTACAATACAAAAGGAAGATGCTGTATTAGGTGTGTGTAGTATCCACTCCTCGAGGCTGTGCTTGGGGACCAAGCATTCTGCATGTTACAGCAAGGTGCAAATCAAACAAAGCAGGTCTTCACTGGAGCTGAAAGACAAGGTTTAATAGCCTTATACAAGGCTTGTCTAGGGCTGACAGCTTATCCTACAGCTGTGAGGAGAACAAGAGGCTGTTTCTATAGACTCGTGCAGAACCAGAGCTCAAAACCTTTTTAAAGAGCTGGGCCCATTGTTGCTCATACAGGCTAATCATGCTGATGCTTTGACAAGGAATTCAAGACAAGTACGCCTTATCCTTAGGTGTGCCCATGTAGGTATACATATATATCTTGTATGCATGCGGGATTAGAAATCAAATTCCTGCCAGATGGAAAGGAGTAAACACGGCTATAAAAGCACTGCTTATTTTTCAGCTTTTCAGGAGATGGCATATTATTTATCTTATGCATCGTTTTCAATTATGTTCCCTCAACTGCCAATCGTGAATATCTTGGCATTTGAATTTGATACGTTTTAAATAACAGTTAAGGATACATAGGCAAACAAATAATGACATATCCATTCTTAATTTAACTGTACATCCCAAAGAAGGAACAAATATCCAATAGAATAATCTGCAGCATCCAATAACCTTCAAACCACCTCATGAACAAGCTGTCCTGGAGAAAACTGCCTTGCAGCGTGCTTTGAAAGTCATTGGGCTTGGACTGTAACAGATCAAGAGGGAAAGCAATGGAGCTGGGTATCTGTTCCTGGATGAGATGTATGTTTTGAGGAGCACAGGTGCTAACCTCATATTAGCTACCATGAGAGTATGAAGTTAGTAGACATTCAAATGCAAAAGGGTTAGTTAAATTAGTTGGCGCTGTACCTTCTCCTATGAATGGGAGGCTTCCTTATACCATCCCCCAGAACTTGCATTGAACTGAAAATGAATCATGGACAGTGGTCAGCAATTAGAACGGAATAAAATGAACATATGGCAGTTGCATGAAAAAAATGGGAAAATGAAACCTGTGGCATCAGCACCAATGCCCCATCCATAAAAGCTCTCTTCTCTCTCTTTTGTACTATGGCCTTTTTTACCGAACAAAGATTCAAGGTTACTTAGAGCTGATGCTGAACATGGGTCAGCTAATTGTAGGGGGACAAACTGTGCCTCAGCGGTTCAAAAGCAGCCATCGCTACCAACCACCACTAGCAAAGGCTCTAGTTGCGTACTGTAAGCAAGGTCTGTATAGATATCATTGAAATATTCAGTCTTTTCTTTCCTGTCGTGAAAAGGGCTGTCGTCTGCAGGGCAAAAGAGGCTGGAAACCCAGCATGAACTGTAAGAATTGCTGAGGGTGAACATGATAAACTGAAGCTGTGTACCTTTTTGTTATGAGGTTTATGAAGAATAAGTATTTTAAGAAAAAATGTAGGCATTTATAGGTAAAGCAGTGCAGGAGGAGGAAAAACCAAGCGTGTGTTTTAATTCCCGATCCATATTTTGTTGTTCTTTAAAAACAAAAAGGTTTGTCCTGCTTTGTGGGCTTCCCTGCTTCTTGCACCGACAGCTGCCCCAGAGCATGATCCATTTTCCATTGTAATGAACAGAAAGCTTCCCAATAGCTTGACTGGAAGTTGGATCAAGCCCTCAGTCCTTAACAGAAGGCCAAAGGGAAGTGGCTTCCAATAAAAACCCTTCCTCTCACAAATGGTCTAGCTAAACGGATATTAGGAAGACTTTGAACCAGTTTGAATAAAAAAAGCAATCATTCAAATTTTACTTCCTTTGTATTTGCAGTTCCCTACCCATTAAACCAACCTTTACGGGTATACAAAACAAACTTCTAATGGAAAAAACAAGTACAAAAAATGTCAGGTCTTCAGGTACTGTAAAGCAGAAAGGGCAAAGACCAAACTGTCTTCCTTTGCAAGCCACCTTTAGGACAGCCATGGTTCTTGTCCAGTGGCAGCTGAGCCTAAGGACATAAGAGAATAATTCTTGTGTTCCTTTACTTTAAAGAAATGTATCATTCATTTACAGTAGGAATATTTTCCCGTACCATAAACAGAACCATCCAACCCCTGAAGCAGAAGTCTTTACCTCCATCTGTTTAGCATTAGAAGTAATTGCCAGCTATGCAGAGTTTATTACCCTCAGAAATCCTTACATAACAGGTTCTGCACTTAAAAAATAAATCTTTCTAAATGAGTTTATGAGCTTATAAACTCTTGTCAGACCAGCTTTTTATTTCTGAAGTTGCCTCTCATGCAGCTTTAGAGTATTGCTGCTGCTTTATTTATGTATGCACCCCCCATGGGACTGGGAATCACATCCAGAGAAACAGGACAGAGTATGTAGGAAAATAAACAGTTAACAACAACAGTTATGTAACTTTTAGAGCGCTGTGTGTTTTTCTCCCCAACTTTGGCTTTCAGCAAGATAAACCTTATAACAGGAAGGATCTAAAGTCTCACTTTGGTTCATGCATGTGACTGGAAAAATCAAAAGATACTGCTGGTTTGAGTATAATGGATCTAATGATGGCCAAATTAATCTTTAATAGAGGGCAGTGACCCATGAAGACAAATTCTCAGCATTCACTGTGGCAATAACACTCAGAGCGTAATGCAAAACTGCAGGCCTGGACTTAGCTTTTATAAGCCACGCACCCATGCTGAAGATGAGGATGGCTGCACACACTGTGGGACTTCTGAAACAAACTGCCCACACTTATTTTGAGAGCCAGATGCCTGCTCTTCAGTCTCTGACCAAGCCTCCATTGATTTGAAAAGAATCAGGATTTGGCTCAAAATGACTTCAGTAAAACAATGTTAAGTTTTGTACCACATCACTGAAAGAGAAATTCGATTTGCAGAAGAACATGCTGGGTATGACGGGAATTTGGGGACCATGATGCTCAAGAGGCAGAGGGCTTACATCTGAGCAAGCTACTTTATAGGTGCAATTTTTGTGTAAGTGGAGATCAAGATATGAGTGACTTTGGAAAAGAGCATATCTTGGTCTTCTCAAGTGGCTGATGTGAATTGTCACACTGAAAGCCTTGCTGCTATGACTTTCTCTCCTTTTCTAAAAGGTGAGAAGCCATGGGGAAAAACTGGGAGTGTGCCTGCAGAGCTGTCAACTGCCCTGGTGACTATTTTATGAGGTACGGTCCACGTGAGACTGAGGTGAGACCAGTCCCTTGCACACCCACCATGAATCAACCTGAGACTAGAGACCTGTACATCTCTGTTAAAGTCCTTGTAGGCCATAAAACATCTGACTGCAAAACTAGTAGTGGCTGCATTTATTCCCTAATCTCCTAGGCTTAATACTCCAAAAGCTTCTCTACCAAAAACCTCCCTGTGGAAATGCGTGGTGATAATTCAAATTAAAGACCTGGTTGACAATATTTCAGTTCACTTTAATGGGCGTTGGGTCAGGTATTATGCTGGAAAGCTAAAACATGCTAGTCATGGAGGTCTTTTGTAGGAAAGTTGTTTTTTTTCTGCCTCCCCATGATCACAGAATAATAAAAAATGAACCCACTTCTCTGCATTTCATCACACCTTTCAAATATCACATTCAAAGCTCACATGAATATACGTGTGTAGGCATAAATACCTACAAACAGCCTTCTAACTCACCTCCTGTGATTGATTTCTGCCTCATTAGCAGCATTTTTCCCTGGCCCCCAACTGTGCCGACGAAAAGGCGACAGTGGTCGCATTGAGTTTCTTAAGACAGAGGAATGGGCAGGCACTTCTGTGATACTATCCATCTCTTCTTCTGTCTCGCCTGAGCCAGCAGGTTCACTGTCCCTTCCCTCTGCATTGGCCATATTGATGCAGCTCCCATCCAGACTGTGCCTATCCTTATGCCTATTGGAGCTTAAGACGTGTGGAAGGGAAATGTCACTTCCGAGAGATGAGTTCCTCTCTAAAGACACCGTGTCATCTGCTGAAGAGCTGGAACTGGTGATATCGCAAGCAGACTGCTCCTCTTCTGGCTGCTGCGGCAAAAGCAAAAAACACAAACTCAGTTGGTAGCAACTAACCATGTGTGCAATCCGATCAGAGAGGCTAAATCTGTTCCTTCTTTTCATAGCAGATTACACCCTGTTACTTTATCCAAATTTATACCTCATCCCAGCTACTGTTAACCTGGACTCCCGCTCAGGTGTGCTGATGCATCCCAAGTCTCTCCCTTCAGTGTTTCCTTCACACAACATGCCTTATGTCTAACATAGTGTCACCTGCAAGTCTAACCCTGACCTCCAACGAGGCCAACATTTGTGAACCTGCCAAGTACTTACCTGGTTTTACTGCTGGAGACCTAGTAAGTGGGGACAGGGTCACCATGACTTAAGTCGGGAAGTTCAGTCCTTGCTGTGTGACCTAAGCTAGATTGGTAACTTCTAGCCATTACAGCTGAAAAGCTGACACAGTGTTGCACTGCATTGTCCCACACAAACTGAACATGATTGGGTTGCATGAAACACACAAAAATCAAGACAAAGTCCCTTCCCCCATCCAATTTCCATTTAGCAAAAAGTTAACGTCAGGGCTTTCAGCATTTTTTTTTTTAATCTGACTGTAATTGAAAAAGACTGTTCCACAGGATCAACCACACTGTATTACAAGTCTTGATTCATACTGTAATTTTGGGTTTAGTTTGCTCCAAAAGCAATAAGTGGAATTCAAGCTGGTTCTGTCTGGCTACATGCCACATGCTGACAATACATCCTAAAGAGAGTCTATGATTATTCTGTGTTCCTGGTGGCTTGTATAAAACACACAAGTACGTTCATGACATCACCTTATGACAGGAATGGTGTTTGCCTTCTGGGACTGTTGTGCGAAGTTTCAGTTCATCCTTCTGCAGAGCCCTGCACAATGTCATTTAAAATAGTGATATGCCCGGTGATCGGTTAGATTATATATAATAGGCTATTCAAGAACGCCAGGGCAAATAACTGTCTTCAGCTACTAGACTCGGTGATACTCAACAGGACATGAGCATCCAAGGAGCTGTAGTCTGTCAACTCTCCTTTGCTGAGGATACAGAATTCAAATCGCCAGAAGCTTTTAGCGAGGCAGAAACACAGCGTGAAGCCTTTTGCCACACAACTCACTACCATGGCAAGGTCCAAAAGTCCGCGGTCTTTCAAAATCAATAGATTAGAAATCTAAAATCATGTACATTCTGGGCGTTGTTTGTCCTGGAACAAAATTATAAGTACAATCTACTACTGTGTTTATATAGCAAAGAAATTTGGAAGTTTTCTTTCTTTTTCTTGTTAAATGGCCTTCAGTGAAATACTTCCTAAATTAAGGAGAAACCTTAGTCGAGTTTGGTGGTCACTGAAAGTATCTCTGTTTTTAATTCTTATGCTGATTTAAGAGGTGCAGAACTGAATGTATACTGCGTGTTTTAAATAAAAGATTCCACATCATTCTCCCAACCTCATCCATAAGGGGGTGGGGGGAATGAAGGGAATGGTCAGAATGAGCTTAATACTTACACACAATAAAACTTCCCCACCCCCAATATATATTTTGGAGTCAAAACCATTTAATGATTTGTATGCGTGTCACGGTAAGGTTGATCAGTTATTAAAGATACCTTTTGTGTAAATATACTCCGTGATGAAATTATGCTCTAATGTGGAAAAAAAAACCCCAAACAAGAACAACACTTTAGGGTATATTTAAATAGAAGGTTTAGAATATGACAAATAAAAGGGGGGGGGCAGGGCGCGCGCTAGACAAAATAGCCCCGTTAAGTCACACTGATTTTATTTTTGACATAGTAGAAGATAGTCTGACAATATGCATGAGTCACGCTGACAGTTTTAGGCAAAATTGCCTAAATTCAGACAAATTAAGTAGTCATTCCATGGACAAAACTCTATCAAAAAGGAAACAGTCTGCTTCTCTTTTGGGACACAGGCAGCTATTGTTACAGATACTGGAGTATCCCTGCTGGGAATTAAGAACGTCCTTCATCAGAATAGCACACGGGTGTGTCAGTTTGGGAACATCTATCTTGGACGTGAATGCAGTGGATGTGGAGCAGAACTGCCAAATTAAATGTGTTTTGCTGCTGGCACACTAACTCCTAAATAGGAAGAGGGATTTTAATTCTCTAAAACAAAACAGAATTCATTTCACTCACATAGGAGCTTGTTTGTTTCTTAAATTACAGTTAATCTAACCAAAATGCAACTAAAAAATATGAAATAATCTGCTCTGTTTATACTTTTGCCTTCAACTCCATAGCTGATTTGTACGCAAGGGCCCAACACCTTGAGCCATCTCTAGGTCAGATGTGAGTTCAGGTCTGTCTACATGCATTGAATGCAAACAACTGTATTTTAAATGGTATACACAGCTGAGGGTGCTTTACAAATTGCCTATATGCAACAGGGCTGAAATGCAGATTCTTCTGGCACAGAACATGTCACAATACTTGAGTGGGTGAGCTCTCCAGGAAGTACTGCAACAGAGATAATAATAACAGTATAGCGAAGATTTATATGGGTGTAGATGCACTAATGTAAAAATACCCAGCATAGAGAATGGGAGGACTTAATGCTGCTAATTTAGTGTCAGTGGTAAGTCTGTTATTGGATTCAAAGGGTGTGTCCAGACGTGCATAGACGTTTGGTTTTCTGGGAACGAGTAGCAACGGTGCATCTTGAACCACTGCTACTTGTCCCTGGGGAACACCCAAGCCATGCGTGCTTTGGCACACAGCAAATTGCTCCAAGTGGGGTAGGGGCAGCTGGGGCCAGCACTGCACTGGCCCCAGCAGCCTTACCTGGGGCTTTGGGAGCCTCTGAGGGCTGCAGTCACGACAATTATGCCACGTGGAGCCTGGCTGGCATCGGAGCGTGGCTCCGGGAAGCCTGCTCCAATTTTCAGAAGTGCACACTGGTCAAGTGTGCATCGCTCTGCGTTTTTTTCTGGCAGGTTTTTTTGACCCCTGGATATTCATTTAGATGTTCATTTAGAACACTTGGTTACTAAATGCCAAAAATAGTATAATGATTGTAACCCAATGTAATGTTTATAATCCAATCCATGTTAAACACCCGCTTGGGACAGCAGAAGAGAGTCCTGACTTACTCTTCTGCTAAAACAGAAGTCAAAAAAATTGTAAAAAGATCATTTTTTCTTTAAGTTAGAATTGCTGCCTTGCACCTTCACCTTAAGTTGTATCGATCCAATCACGATCATAAAGCTAACTGCCAAAAAATGCCATCAGTGGTGCAATCAAGAATAAGGACTGATATTGATAGTCTGGTCCAACTGGCCATCAATATCAGTCCTTATTCAGAGAGATGATACATGGAGCTAGTGAAGGAAAACTGAAGTTAAATCGCCTGTAACCAGAGTTTCTTGAGATGCATTGTGCTGGCAGTACCTGCTCATTCGGAGCAGGAAT